CTAGTGTCAAAGTGTCAACACAACTGTCAGTGTCAGTGTCAAGTTTTCACTGTGTCAAACAAGGAGGCCAGAGATTAACCTGGTTACAAAGGTAGAGCCTTCTAGAAGCTTAGAACTCAGTTGGCGAGGATTAATTGTAAACCAATTTTGAAATTTTTTAATCCCTACTTTCGCTTTTCATCAGCTAAATCCTAACCACATGAATAGGAACAACGCTAGTTGCATGAGAGCAAACGTTCCTCTTGTGAACGAGTGCCTGATAATGTTTGAAATGCCGACCAACACGAGACGTCTTAGCATGACTATCTCAGAATCGTAAAAACAACTTCTTGGTCATTCAAAATGTCCGTCGAAAGCGAATACGAAAGATAGATGCTGCATTAGCAGCCAAACCCCAACAAAAACGTCATCACAACTGTAAATAGTTCCCACGATCGACTTTCTATTAACCTCGGCATAGGAATAAGAATGCGTCGTTTTCCTGTTCAGCAATTGCGAGGTTGTTATACAGTATACATTTACTTGCATAGAAAAACAATACAATACAACAGTAGATGACGTTTCGGCAGTATCTTGTTCTTCAGAGCATGGAAGGGTGTACTGATATACAATTTATTGGGCCAAACGCGTCAATAACACTTACAAAAAGACGAAATACTCTATGGCAATTACATGCTACTGTTGTATTGTACTGTGTGTGTTTTTCTATCGAAATAAATGTAGGCTTTACAACAACCTCGCGATTGCTGAACAAGGACACGACTGTTAATAGTTGTTGATAGAGAATAAGTCGTGAAAGAAGTAGAGTCGGACAATATGCGGGAGTGGGTCAATTACATAATAAAGCATAAAAACGATAAAACTCTAGGCTTTAATCAATTCCTGAGTGATGCACCTTGTATTCGACTTTATCAACTACGAAAAGAGGTGACTGAATGAATATGTGGCTAATACAAATACATACATACATACATACATACATACATACATACATACATACATACATACATACATACATACATACATACGTACATACATACATACATACATACATGCATAAATACATACGTACATACATACATACATACATACATACATACATACATACATACATACATACATACATACATACATACATACATACATACATAATTTGTTTATTAGGGCGCTTGTGGCGCAGTAGTCGGAGGCGCCCAGCAACACAGGTGGAATCGATTTCCGCGCACGTGGCCCACCAAGCCTTCCATGCATCCGGGGTCGGCATATTGGTACCACACTTGTCTGGGAGGATAGCAGCACTGGCTCGATGCATCAGTTGGCCACTGCGAGTCATTCTAAAGGCCACATGTGCATTCTCACCTTCAAACGATGCTTAATGAAGTCGATTGCATGCATGGCCTATGCCTCATAGATTGATTAACGCCAACAGCTTTATTTTTATCCTTTATATTTGTTTGTTTATATGAACCGTATGCACATATCGTATGGGTCGCAACAGTTCTTTTATTCAGTTAGGTTCTCCTGAAACCATCATGGACATATGTGTTCGAATTTGCGAAAGGCTTCAACTGCAACTTAAGGGTTTTGTCTTCGTGAATGCCTCTGAATACTGATCGATTTGATTTTCCCAGATAGGAGATTCTTAAATAACATCCTGTGGTTGTGGTTATATAACAGCTGTCCAATTTTCATCAGGTGCAGATGCAGTTATGTGGCCTATGGTATGCCGATCTGATGAAGACCACTTCTGACAGAGTTTTTCGATTTCCGAAGGATGTAGAGCTTGTTTTGTCTAGAACTATGTCCGCAAAGAATAAAATCTTCGGCTTGAGGTGTGGTGACTTTGTATGGAAAGCAGTGATTATATGATTTTGGCATCCAAAAAGCCTCCGCAGATTTCGTGATTTGGTCGATTTTCTTTAGTGTAATGGGTGGAGCAGGAAGGCCAGAAATCTTGAACCTCCTGCCGTGCGGCCAATGTTGACAGCATAGGCACAGCGTGTGCCGTCGGAAGCTGGTTCTAGTGGTGTTTCATCGGAACGAGCTTTCCGCTTAGTCGTCAGCTAAGTCGCAAGATACGATGTTGCCCTTGTTCGTCTTCATTCTTGTGATCTTGCCTTTGCCCGTCCCAGCACTCATTAGGTTTGTTTAGTCTAGAACATTTCCTAATCACTTCAACATCGAATCAAAGGAAAGCAGTAGATCTCTGCGCCATTTTCATTTGATATATGAAGAAAGGGCTCTTGATTTACAACTGCCGTGGATCAAATCTCATCGTTTTTCATTGCAACGTGTAGAGTTTATTATCATAATAAGTAGCTGCACAAAGTTTATTCTTTGTGCCATATTGAGTCCAGAAGTAACTTTCCCACTTGTGATTCCAATTAAATTTATTTAAAAAATGCCTGTCTTTAACATACGAAGTCCAGAACTGCTTTTCACAGACAGCTGCTAAATTTTCGGCAACTAAATGATTTGAATCGGTGAAAACGTGGCCGTCTAATAGAAAGGAATTTCCTCTATTTAGAGGATGTGGTTTCCTGAAACTGTCATTTGATTTTTACAGTTCCTTAGGATTAAGGTTTCAAAGTGAAAACGAAACCTAGCTGCTTAAAAGTAGTCAGTGTACCTTTTCAAATCGTTCGGCTTACATGAGGATATTGTATAAAACTTATTCGGGTAACTTTTCGACGTCTTTGTCTTCCTCAGAGCCGATGTTCCGAGCCGGTTGTCCATAACCGTTTGTCCTCGTTATCTGGTTCTTCATGGTTGTATTGAGCTGAATCAGTGGACAATCAGCTACAACCGTTCTGTGTAAAGGGGGCACTGCCGAGTAAGATTCTTATTCGGACGGCGTTCAACTTCAGAAGACTCGACTCGGCTCGACTACGAAGGCACCCCAACGCGACGACGAGCTGCTACCACGGCTCGGATTTATCCCGCTCTGAAGAAATCGAAAGACGTCGAAACCTTAGTCGAATAAGACATATAAAAACCTTATCTGAGCTGAACAATCTAAAAGGTTTATAATTATTCACGTTTAAGTTAAGTGATAGTCACTTTCTAAAAAATAATTCTAGAATTAATCCCACTAGCAACACCTCAATGTAAAGTCAACAACGCACACCTTGTTTAAATGAACGAACTACAGCTAACATGATTTCTGGGCTCTATAAAATCAAGACTTCGTTCTGGTAGAATGAGAGCTCTTGTGTGTTAATCGTGAAGGAACGGCAAATGCCAATGGCTTTTTCTTTATTTAATAAAGTTAGGTTTGAACTAAATTATTTTCGGTTAAATTTGAAAATCCTCCCAGCGGCTTAGGGCCTCATCCTGGCTTGAAATTGTTTGTGGGTGTCGGGGTGCAACGTACAGCGGGGGAATTCATGCCACCAACAGGGTCTCCCAAGCTGAGGAATCAGGCGTTTCCATTAGGAAGCCTAGCTAAGAGTAAACCAACACCAGGATCCACCACCATTCTGGTATCAAAGTCACATGGTGGCGAATCCCCCTCTGATCCACAAGTACCGCGATTACATTCGTGATAGCACCATGGTTGAACAAGCTAAACTCCGAAAAATGGAGAATAACCTGAAGCCCGCACAACCAGTGAGGACAAGCAGTCCAGGTGTCCAGGTATCCAACTAAGTAGATGAGAAAATGGCAGCAATTTTCGCATCATATGAGCGGAATTCAACTCTCTTTGAACTCTAAGCTTCCGAAAGTTCCATTTTTGACAATTTACTGTTAGCTAACTATTTACTGTGGTGTCAAACCACAAGAGATGAGAGCTTTGGCTTTCTAAAATCACACTAATTTTCCCAAGGATTGCGTTCGAACTGTATTGCAATCATTTTTCGAAGGTCTCCACTACAATTGGGACACCCCTTTAAAGTCACGATGTTAACTTTTTATTTAATGTCTGCTACAAATTTTGTAGGCAACGTGTTATGTAAATTATAGCAATAACGATGCTAAGATCTTAGTAAAATTCTGAGCCGCAAGTGTCTGGCTTGGGGATTCTCGCTATTACTCTTCCCAGACCTAACCGTAAGGGGTAACAGCGGTTTCTGTCCCCACAGCAGACAGATGCGGTTCGAAACTTTGCAAATATCTCTGCATCAGTGTGGCTGTATTTCACACAACATTCTGCCAGGAAAGATAATAGTTGGTAAATGAAGGTAAACTACATCAATAACTTAATGGCAAATTGTACAAGATGTCAGGTAAGTTTTAAAGGAAACACTAGCAAAGTCTCTATTCTATTGTCATCTCGTTGGACACAGTCTTTAACTACTGTAGTTTATCGGTTGCTCATTTTTAAAAAAACGGAAGAATTCATGTCTGGGCCACTTAAATTTCGAAATTTTGGCTTATACTGCGGTGTTCTTCCAATACGTGGGTACGATTCTCTTTGTTCTGAACTTTAGATTCTTTTTCTGCTCTGCGTGATAGGGGATACTACTAGCATTGCCCTCCTATCCACTACTCGGTGAGTCTCGTCATTGTGTGCATCATATGGACTGCAACGTGCTCTAGCCTTCCAGAAACCCTGCTAGTTCGCATGGTATTCTCCATCCAAAGTTCTGTCAGTTTTGGAAGGTGGAATTGACTTTCAAGTAGATCGAGGTAGAAGAACTGGACGACATTCTCCATTGTCGTTCTTAATAAATAAACAAATAAATTAGATGTATCTAAGTTATCACGTCTAGAGAATGTTAAATTGACTTCTTCCTTAGTCTATCTTTTTTTTGCAGCACGTTGCGGAATAACCATTCGTCGAGGCTTTTGATGCTTAGCTATCTCAGCGCTTACCGTATCTCAGGTTCTTTATGCAATTTTGAAACAGATGCGAGCTGTTCGACTGCTCTTTTCTACTTTCTTTTGTTGAATTTCCAAAACAGCTCTACATTACTGTGGTGATCCTTCACAAACTCCGTAAGAGTGTAGATAAAAGTCGCGACAAATTCACTTTTAAATACAACTTTTTCAACCGGTCAATGGTGAGCAAAAACCAGAGAGAGTATTTGAGTTAACCGTACGTTTTGGAGTGTTTGAGCATTTTTGTCTGTTTTCTTAATCATTATGAAATCCATAGAAACGGTGCTAAATATCACGCAATAAGGCACTTACTAGATTGATAAGAACGGAAGATAAAAGCAGGGCTTATAGGTATCCATACGAACTTTCAGCTTGCTCATAGTGGCTTAAAAGTCATTTTTTAGCAGCAAAAAAAGAAAAATCAAGAAGACTGGTGAAAAAGTCCCGGTGATATCTAAAAATTGTTGTTCTATTATTTGTTATGAGCTATGCTCAAGGATTAAACGTAATGGCTTCGTGAACAACTACGGCTACGGCCCGCATGGCATCGGCCCCAACAACGTCGGAATCGACAGTTTCGGATTTTTCAAGTAATTGGTATGCTTTGTTAGATGAATCTGTCCTTCAACGGAAAACTGTTACGGATTTTTAGAGACAAATTCTACAACAGCGGTTTGCCACCGTTATATACATTTGCAGCCTATCGTAACTATTACCACGAAATTTCGTTCCATAAAAACAAATACGGACTTCCGGCGCCAACCAATTTTGAGATTTTGCAGCAGGAACGTTTCGGTCAGTCCTTTTCTTTTGATTTTGTTGCATTTTAGTTCCACCAACTAAGAGACCATTAGTGAGCTGATGTTTTAAAAAGCTTACCGTGAAAACGTTCGAATCGAATCCATAAAAATCTCTCTTACCTGTCGCAACGAGTTAACCAATGAATGATTGGAATAATGTGACCCGCTATTGCTGAATCGGCTCGTTGAAAAACAAAGTACTTAACCTTTAGAGGCGCAAGCCTAAATCGGTAAGGCTGGCGACTAGTTATGAGTTGGTATTAACTCAGGCCAGTTTAATTTCCTCTTTATGTATGACTGCAAACGCACTCACATCGTATTCGATGTTTTAAAGATGGTGGTTAAATTACTGAAGGAATTTGTAGTTACCGCAGAAGATGCATTCATGAAGAACTATGTGTTCCATTATAAACGACGGAGAATATCCACATGGAGAATATCCTTCTTACAACTTGAAAGCATGCACTATCTTGCTTTTAAAATAGTTCCAAGAAAATTGAGCTAACTTCTTCGAAATCAAATTTTATAACCTTAATAATGCCGAGGTATTTCCAAACTCTAACCCAGGGTAGATTCGAACCTCGATTACCCTTTCGTGAGGTCACTGCACCACCGAGGTCCTTGCGTTGCCTTTCTCTCAGCCAGTTCTTTGCGCTATCGGTGCCATCAGCAATTACCCGTCAACGAGAATGATCCCCGGAAAGGGTAGTCGCGGGTTAGAATCTGCCCTGGCGTACGAGTTTCGCAAATATCTCAGCATCACTTTGGTTGCGTTCCACGCAATACTCTCCTATAAAAAATAATGGACAGCAAGTAAAAAAGTTAAGCATTCGAGTTTTTTAATTTAACAGCACTTTTGCACTCGATAGATTAGATCTGTTATCTAAGCAAATTGATTTTTTCTTTTAGGACCGTACTACAATGGAGTATGGGGAAACGTCGACCAGTCGCCATATTGGTTTGGCAAGTAGTGTCATGAACTGTTGGCAAGGAGTCACTCAATGTCGCAGAGAAACCTCGTCTTATTATTTTCTGAACTTCCTTTTATTCACGTTGCTTAATAAAAAAAACGAGGATGATGACTTTGAAAGCCTCAGCTAAGGGTTTAGTAGGAGTAAAAAGTGCCTACTAAAAATAAGCACAACATAAGAATAGGAATTGACATTTCTAGAGTCAGCTAATCAGGTCGTCTTTTTAAATTACAGTTACAGCGAAAATCACAGTCTAGCATGAGGACGGCGATAGTTGCCCCCTACTGAGGGCGGGCCTATCTACCATACCTTCAGTATCGGAAATCAGGAAAAGGAGAAATTTCTCCAGTTCACAAAGGATGGCAATTTTCTATGATGAAGATCGGAGAACGCTCTAGCATGGCCATCTCAGGATTCAAGGAAGAATCAACTTAACTAGTATTTAGCGACATTCATGAAGAAAACCAGAGATCTCAGTGTGGCAGGTGAGCCCATAAGCTCGAAGACTTTTGCGGATGGCTGACCCGAGGAAACGATTCGAATACAAGAAACGCGGTATATGCCCAATAGTTGCGAATGCAGGTCTTTCAAAAAATATCCTTCCATTGGAGAACAGTTGTTTGTCAGATAGGATTTCCACAGAAATGGCAATCTTTGTGCGTAACTGCTAATTTACTCCAATTACGAGTTTACTAATCCCATGTCCAACCTTTATCCCAAAGTGGACAACTTTCATCGTACTTTCTTATTTCAAAGTAGCCTCTTGTAACAGTTATTCTATAAATAAACTTTTCATTTCAAATCAGTTTTTCCAGTTGGTAATAGAACGCCTCTAATTCGCCTTCGCGTCAATGTCGTAGGTGACAGCGAACAGTTTTCGTTGTGCAGGTAGAGGTGCTGTTCTGATTCTAGGATGTGTTCAATCTTTTCATTGCGATCTATGAAGAAATATTTGCTACCTCACCACGAGGTTGCTAAAAGTACAGCTGTGATTCCTAGAATTTGCTCAATCTTTGGCTATTTCTCACATTGTAAGGTCGAGGTTGTTGTGAGCTTAGCTGAACTCACTGTTGTTGCAAACTGCTGTCTATGGAACAGCTGATTATAGTCGCATATGGTTGACGACTGCCGAAAATTGACGGTATATCGGTATATCGTACCTGAACTCATCCAATTACGATAGGGACGGCTCAGGGATGAATGCCCGGAGGTCATACGTGACCTGACCCCATATGTTCGCATCGATTTTTGATGTGGGATGGTGCAGTCGTCAACCACATGCGACTATAATCAGCTGTTCTAAACTTCCTCATTGGAAGTCACGAAAAAGTGGGTTTTTCGAGAAGTTGTTGATCGTGTAATTACCAAAGAGTCTTTCGTCTTTTTGTAAGTGTCATTGAAGCGTTTGGCCTAGTAGATTGTATATCAGCATACCCTTCCAGGCTCTGAAGAAGGCGATGCTGCCGAAACGTCAGCTAATGTTGTGTTGTATTATGTTTCTCTATGGAATTAAATGTATGCTGTTTAAAAACCTCGCGATTGCTGAACAAGAAAACGACACATTCATACGTCAGAATTATTTTCAACATCCTTATATTCGGAAACGCTCTTGCATTAGGAGAAAACTCATGCATGGGATTAGAGGGAAAAGTGGAAAAACTGTATTGCATAATACACATTTCCGTCTTAGTGGTTTATTCTGGTGCACAGAAGTTATTTTGCTATATACAGCATTTATGTACTCAATTTATAGCTTTTACAATGTTGATGTGTTTACCACAATGATGCCTAGACATTTACAAAACTCCGAACCCCTGGTGTCTGCGGTCGGGATCGAATCTGCTCCTATTCTTTCCGACCGAGACCGACCAACGAGTTCACCACCACATCATGCGGGTTCTTCGTTTCGCCTTTCTCTCGGCCATATTTTATGGGCGCTATCAACAATCACCCGTCAACGGGATTGATCTAGAGAGCATAAAGCGGCACTGAACCCAGTAATGTGAGGATGTAGTTAAGATCACAATGTAAACATTTCTTTTTACTGCTTATTCTTTTTTCATGGCAAAGTATTATGTGAAATGTAACCGCAATAACGGAAGCGTCTTCACATCATACTTACCCAGCCATGAAAAAGAATAGGCAGTAAATAAAAGGTGATTGAATTGTGATTTATACTACAACTTCAGCTTAACTGGGTGCCGATTTGTGCCCCACAGATCAATCCCATTGACGGGTGATTGCTGATTGCACCGATAAAACATTGCGAAGAAAAAGGCAGAACGGGCGACCAGCAAAATGTGGTGGTGAACGCGTTTGCCCACGAAAAGTATAGTAGCGTGTTCGATCCCCAACGCTGACACCTGCAGTCCGGAGTGTTGCAAATACCTCAGCAACACATTTCTAACTTATTATTTACTGCCTATTCTTTCTAACAGCAGGGTATACATTGTGAAATATAACTTCAATGATGCTGAGATATTTGCAAAACTCCGGAGTGCAGGTGTATGCGGTGGGGAACGAACGCGCTATTGTCCTTTCCGGGGAGTAGCGCGTCCACCACCACACCACGCGGGTCCTTCCATTTTATCTCAGCATCGTTGTGGTGGTATTTCACGTAATACTCTGCAGTGAAAAATTTTAGTTAGCAGTTGTAGAAGAAAAGTTAACATACTCATGTTATTTTTGGCGTGGCCTATGGAACGTTGTTCTCGTCATTTGCATTTTTTAAAATAGTTTTAAAAATTCTTTTCTCGGATGATTTCACTAGCGAATGCTAAATAATTTACACAGCTTAAACGTTCTCTTAGTGCTACAGGTCACACTACTTTCCTCTTCCATGTTAGCGAGGAAATGTTCCTGGATTTCGAGATTCGATATCCAGTAAAGAAGGTTGATCACTAGCCACAAGGCGAAAGGCACATCCTATTCCGTAGAGTTTGTCAACAGGCTTTGATGATGCCGTGAAACATTGGCTAATGCACTGCCACGGAAAAGCAGTCTTACCCAATAAGTAAGACACCAGTAGAATGGAAATTTGTCGGAAACTTCACGATTAGAAAAGGTACCTCATCTGAGCAACTAAGGATAAGCAGTGCATGGTAAATACGCCGTGCTCTAATAGCAGTTTATGGCTTCATTAGCCTTTTTCATACTACGAATCCTTGTGTTAAGCTTCTACAGTAAGACACTTTGGTGAATCTGCAAAATAGTGGATTTAACCATCTCGCGACATCTTTATGCTCTTTTAGGAAACTTCTAATAGATCGACTTGTAAGTTCTAAATGAATGGATGCTCTTGAATCACCTCTACACGATTTACCCAAGAAATTTCCTCATTCGCATTTCCTTTTACTACTATTTAAGAACATTAAGGGCTAATTTAAAAGGCGACTTTTCTTTAATATAGGTATGACTAATTAGTAGATGATTGACTTAACAAGAGGTTGTTATAAATCGATCATTGGACATATGTTTCTGCGTCATCGTCTTTTTCAGAGCGGGTTTGACCCGAGTCGATAGCCGACAGCCGTTTGGTGACGCGATATGGGCTTCGTAGACTCATAGAAACGAATCCAATGGAGCACCGCTCGAACGGTTCAACTAGGCTCAGCTCTGAAGATGGCGAAGGGGTCGAAACGATATCGATTGAACTACCAATCCTAATGCTAACCCCATCCTATCTTAATCATTAAGAAAGCGTCTTAGGAAAGTCTCACTCGTAGCAGCATGGCTCTGAGGAAGATGAAATCGCCGAAACATCAGCCATTGACCAACAACGATAGCAACAACAACAACGACAACGGAAACTTATAGCAACCTTGCATTAGCTCAACAAAGTCAGTTTATAAAAGTATGTGAATGAATATATCAACTATTTATGCTGAACTTTATAGAAGATCGGTTTTTGGATTATCTTGTCGTAATATTTGCAAAACTCTGGGTCTAGACAGTCCAAATCGGCATTGAACCCAGTTAAGTTGAGTTTGTAGTTGAAAACACAATATAACTGGGTTCAAAGCCCACTTGGGCTGTCCAGATCAACCCCGTTGAAGGGTG